AGTTCTCTGGGGTCCTAAGCTGACCTAAGACTTTGTCTGATAGTTCTTGTTGGCCTAAGTATTGGTTTCGAATCATGTTTCTCTAAGTTTCTTTCAATGCTGTCAACATAGGAAAAGAAAGCTTTTCAATTGACCAACCTAGCTAGGATTACTTCAGCGTTCCCTTTCCAGCTCGAATTCTCCTTCCCTCAACTCATTTATTTTGAAGGCATTTTCAGGTGATTGAGCTTCTCAGGAAGAACTGGTCGAGTCGAACATATTTCCATTTAACATGCATTTGAAGTAAAATCTGAAATCGTATGCTCTTTTGAATGTGGTCCTGAATAACAGCAAAACAAGACTCATTCACCAGATCATCAATCATATGAGGTAAGCAATCGTTAAAGAAGAAACATTCTTTGCTAAAATGAAGATCTGAATGAGTTCAGGAAAAATGTTCAATAGAGTTTCAAGAGTTTCGAAGACCAGAGAAAAGTTCCGACCGAACACAATGAAAAACTCAGGAAATCCAGGTAATGTTACTCTTTTGACATAGTATACAAATTAAAGAAAACAACGGCAATTAAAGGATCCAAAATTTTCTGAACAGGTTTGCATAATAAAAGAAGCAGCCTCAAACAGAAATGTCAGTTACGTATGATTTTGAAGTGTAGTTTCAAGTAGTCTTAGATAGCCGCCAAATAAACGCAAATGGTTGTTAACGCATTGATATGGTCCAAAATGAATGGAGGAACATGCCTAAGATTCAAGATAACTAAGAAGTACCGAAACTGCCTACTAGTGTAGTGAATTTGGTGGGAATGTCAGTTCCCAAGGTATTTGATGGAAATAAATAAGGTGAAATCCTCTAAGCGAGAAAGTCCATAATACTTTCTTCGGATCTGAACTATTTTGTAAACTAGATCTTGAACAACTAATATATCAACGGATAAATGTGATAGGAGGAAAACTAGCCAAAGGTTAGAGAATGGTAACGGAAGTATGTCCCCTGAGTTATACCTTCCGTGAAATATACCCAAATATTTGTTTCCATTGATGAAACGTAAATATACTAGAAAAAAAAGGTTTTGGCTTCCTACTTTTCCATATTCGTACAAAAAAGTGAGAATCTTCCAAAGAAAGTAACAAAGTTATCAATTCCAAAATGAACTTTTCGAATAGAAGTAACTTTCAGCCACAAACTGGAACAAGAAGTCTTTTAGAAACTACTACTTTTGTATAAAAATTGAATTACATGAAAGAAAAAAATACTTGTTTGTACTCCTAACATTCGTTATGGAATTGAATCAGATACCATGCACAGGTTGAATTCCACTCACATGGAACACTGTTATCTCCAGTGGCGGACATCCGATGTTTCGGAACTACATCAAAATTGGTGTTGAACTGCCTGATCAGCAACTGCCTGTTCAGCACCAATTTGGATGGCATTGCAAGTACACTAAATTCATTCATAAAACTACGACTTAATGTATTACGTACAGCCATCGATGACTATTCGTAATAACATTCATTCGCTGTTAAATTCCAAATTATCTTTATCAACAATAATAACATTATAACATTCGTATTGTCAATGATTCAGTGAGTTTGTGTGGAAGTCTGGAATAGTACTTTTTGAAAAAACAGGACAGACGAAAATTGGTGGTTTAAATATCTAATTCTTGAGTTTTTCGTTTCAAATTTGAAGTTGTACCCATTACTTTCGAAATTGTTTTATTAAAAAGACATATTTGTTTACGAAACAAGAGACAAAAAGGTTTCACTTCCGTGTATACCAAGTGAGGTGTAGTAATGAAAATAATCTATACAATTATCATAGAACTAATAAAATCAGTCGTCATTATGACTGATTTTAACAAAATATCAATTTTTCGCTTGGGATGGAAATTCCATTCGCAAATTTCTATAAAACATTTTCAGGTGAAATTATCTTTTGGAATTAAAAAGAGTATACTTTGTGCAGCTATTCGTTTATATTCAAAACATACAATTGAAATTATAATTGTTTATTCATAATATGGTTACATAACCTAAAATGTTTTCGTAATCTATCTGTCGCCAAAATGGGCAGGATGTTTCTACTATAACTTGCTGCTGAGGAATATAAGAGAAACTTTTATCAAAAAATTTAGACATAATGTAAAAACTCTCTTCAATACTTCTTGTATATACAATTTGATAAATTTTTACATTCAGTAATATACATTTGTGTATATGTATATGTATATATGGGTAAAAATGTATGTTGTGTGTATATTGTAGTTCTATATTTATGAGTATTGTATTTATTGCATAAAACGCTAATGAATTGATTGAATTGAATTGTGGATAGTGAAACCATTCGTAAAACTATTCGTTTGTAGACGAACCTTTTATATTTCTTATTGCATAAAACGCTAATAAATTGAATGAATTGAATTGTGGATGGTAAAACCACAAAACTTGATAATTTCATCCATTAATTTCTATTTTTCAACAAAAACTTTGTTACTTAGCAATACCACGGTAGCAAACAACGTGAGTCCGTAGCACAAGTGATTATTCGTAAAGATTATTTCGTGGAATATTCTCAGCTGAATGCATTGATATGCATGATATGCATGAAATATCAGTAGAATTTGATAATTATGAGTACTGGGTACGACTATCATACTCGTTGCCAAATTGAGGGGCTCCCACAGACAATTTTTTTTTCATATTCATTAAAGATAGGGTCTTGAATTTTCACACGGACTCAGCCTATGGCCTGGGCTCAATTCCCGCATATATGGAAGTAAAGTCTTTAAGAAACACTAATTCGAATGTTCTTCGAAGCTGATTTCTTTTTCCAGAAGTGCAAACTTTTCCTTAATGGGTCTGCTGGGTCCCAAATTGCCTTTTTTTTTGTACACGGAACTCATCACGCTTTCCCCATACTTAGGCTACCCGGCTGGAATATCAAACACGACTGATTAGGTTGGATAGACGCCTGGCGTACCTTCGGATGGTTTCTGGAGGTTAGATGGTAGTGGGGGGGGGTGGCACTACGGCTACCGTCGTTATGTTACTCACGTTTATAAATAGCAGGATGTTTGCCAGGCAGCTATCCACCATCCTACCAACCTTCCTGCAGTGCGGCCCCAGCTTAGGAGTTGAAGAGGAATGCACTAGGCTAAAGGAAATCAACATCAAATTTAATTTAAATCACCACCCATCACTGAATACGAAATATCGAAAACCTTATTTGAAATGAAGAACAAATCATCCTCCGGTATGGATAAAATTTCGATTATTACTATTAAACATATATTTTCCGCTATTATTAAACCCCTAACTTTTCTCATAGAACAATCTCTCGTGCAAGGAATCTTTCCTGATGTTTTAAAATAGGCACTTGTGATTCCTCTCCACAAAAAAGGAAATTTAAATGAAATTAACAATTATAGGCGAATATCGCTGCTCTGTTCCTCATCCAAATTAATAGAAAATATAATAGTAAACAGAATAACCGATTACCTGGAAACCAACAACATACTCTCAACCTCTCAGAACGGTTTTGTTAAAAAGAGATCCATTGAAACAGCTTCCTACCATCTTCCCGATTACATTTACACTCAGATTGATAATAATAACTACGTCTTATCACAATTCTTTGAAGGCATTCGATACGGTGTGCGTAGTATTTCTTTTGAAAAAAATAAAACAATGTAATTTCCCATCTAACGTCATAAATTGAATCAAATCCTACATGACGGGACGAACTGTGTACGTCTCTTGTAATAATGTACTTTCTGATTCTCATGCCGTAAAATTTGGTGTCCCCCGAAGATCTGTTATCGGACCACTACTCTTTCTGCTATATGTTAACGACATGCCTCAACATGTAACAACGGGTTATGTTACAATGTTTGCCGATGATACTACCATTACCACATCAGGTTCAACATGAAGACCGTTATCGATGATTTCAGCTCCAGGTGTCAGATGAATAAACTAATCCTTAACACCTCGAAGTCAGTGGCCGCGAAATTTCACAGGAAATAGCGACCTCACAACGTTATCGAAATTGATGACTTGCGAACGTCCACAAAAGTAAAATTCCCGGGTATTCATCTTGACGCCAACCTCAATTGGGAAAAACAAATTAATCATGTATGTGCAAATCTAAACAAAACCTTTTATGCTATATGGCAGATGAAGCCTAGTTTAGATGAAGGAGGCCTCCTAAATATTTACTACACAATGGTTCACTTTCAGCTTAGTTAAGTTATCATGGCTTGGGGAAGAGCAAGAGACTTAAAAAGAGTTTGTGTGGCTCAGAAAACTCCTATTCAAATTGAATTTCAGAGATAGTTGCCGGCCTATTTTTATAGAAAAAAAGATTTCAACCCTCATATCCATGTATACTTTTGAATATGCTATATTCGCAAGACATAACTTATCGGTTTTTGAGACAAATGGATCTGAACACGTTATATGAGGTAACTATCAATATAAATTTCAGTAGATTTCAATAGTGTTTATTAAAAATTAATGAATTTCACATATGTTTTTAGTGGTTATATGAATTTGGATATTCATTGTTTGGTAACTGAGAATATTTTTTTGGAACATGTTCATGTGCCATGTATGAAATCGCTATCTTGAAGGTCCTGGTTTCGTCTTTGTCAAAACTTTGTGAAATATATTATACAATTATGGACACATTGACTCGTTACCGACTTGATGAAAATCAATAACGCTATCCATGATGATCGTTAAACAATGTCCACACTATACATCATATCTGAGACGCCTTTCACAACACAGCAGTTCAACTAATGAAACCACCGTATAGTGAAACGCTTCTTGAATAAAATCCATAGTGTGAACATTGTATAATCATTATCATTGATAGTCAAATAAAATCGTTCAAAATGATAATCCTGCAACAACCGAAATTGTCAAAAGTTTGTGATCTCTACATTTAGCCTTTCATCTCATATACGAATTAATTACTGTTTCTCTTTTGATTTCAGATTCCTGCTGAATCCAGAAACAGTAGCAGTCTCTTTTTAAGCGAGCCTTATTGACACGGATCTAACAGAATTCCTTATAATCCCGCACTTAACTCGCAAACCGTTTATTCAGCTCTCGATCAATTAAACATCCAGTGCAAATAAAGTGTACCCGAACTACATACACAGGACGTTTGTCCTCTGAACTCCTAATAGAAATTGAATTGGAGAGGACAAACAAACATCTCAAGTGTTCGTTAATGTTTTCCGATGCTCGTTAATGTGCCTCGTATCGATTGCTAGTGTTCGCTGTAAAACTGTTATGAATATTTCCGGAAACTGATTCCTTGTTTTTGAAGATATCACTTCGCGGGTCATCATGGAGACAGAGGAACTCATCAAGCTTGTTGATGGAATCTATAAGGTAATGTCCTAGTGTAATAGTTCATTTCTTTGAATGTAACTTAACTAAAAACTTGAACTAATGATGAAGTATGATTAGCAGTCATTTTGAAAATATCTAAAAGAAAATTAACTATACAAAAAGCAGGGATAGAGTTGAACTCGTGTTGCGATTTCTTGAAATGTCAAGTGAAAATCTCACGATATAGGCCAGTCATCTTAGTAAATTTATCTCCGATTTTGGGATACACAGCTATAAACTTTCATCTTGACATCTCTAGAGTTGTTCCAGAACCATCATATGGTAGGGTGTACGCGACTTTTGAAAACTAAGGTCAAATCTCCCATTTCCTATAGGTTTCTTGCTATTTGTATTCATCAATGATATTATACAGGATTGAATTCCTTACAACTCCTGTTGCAAACTTTTATCTATGATTTGAGTCGTTTTTGAGACAGAGGGTGAAGAGCACGCAGTTAGAACATCATTTGAGGTCAACCGGTAGTCCTGGTCAAAAATTCACCAAATAAAGTTCATTATTTATTGATAAATACATTATCATTACTAATTTTTATTTCTTAACAACCATTAGATTATACTTCAAATGCTGCTGCAAGTTGATTCAAATTCGGCAGTTTCTCAAATGCTTTCCAAATCTTTTTTTTTCTTCTTTTTAAGAGGCGCAGAAGTCATTTCACAGCCACTCAGTGCGTGCAGGAACAAAATGTGTTTTTTTGAACGAAGGTACTCATCAATCGGTTATGAGTGTTATTGAAGAGACAGATATTCATTTAATGAAAAAAATTACGTAATAGATAATAATAATGGAAATTATTGATAACTATGTATTCATCAACAGTCAATGAACTTTATATAGCGTATTTTCGAATGGGACTACAGGTTGACCATGAATGAAGCTCTAATCACGCACTCAGTGCCCTCTATCTCAAAAATCATTCGAAGTTTGAAAAATATTTGAAACGAAAGTTGTAGAAAATTCAATATTCTACGATAATAATTAGCAAACAGCCAAAAACCCATAGGAAATGAGGTATTTTCAGAAAAATGCGAAATGTCATCTTTGACCTAAGACTTTAATAGTCACGTTCACCCTATTATATGTAGGTTCTGAAACGACTTTCAGGATGTCAAAATACAAGTTCATAGCTGGGCTTCTCAAATTCCGAGATACTCACTTAATTCAGACTAAGATAAGTCTTATCACTTCATTAGCCTCTTTTGAATAACATTACGAAATGAAGCACTCATTTCTTTCTTAACATCACGACTGTATGTCACCGTAGGAGATAAATCTACTGATATCACGATGATAGTATGTGAAGACATCCATGCACTCATCTGAACCAAAACCATTTAATCTTGTTTGATTCGAAAGGAGTATATTTTGTAGGAGAGTTTTTGGGGAAGAATATTTGTGGCTTTCTACCTCTTGTCTATACAAATGAATTTAGGAAACTCCCAAACATTTCTAGATCACGCAAAGTAGTTACTATCAGATTAAAAATGAAAGAAAACTTCCTTTCTAAACAACTACTAACATGAACATGGAATTATAAGAAAATCACTGTTTCCTATTCAGTTTGTACTCCAAACATTTGTTGTGGAATTGTAACGGATTTCATTCAAGAGTTACAAAATATTATTTCACTTTCATGGAACCCCATCAAAGACATATTTCGACCTCTTCGGACAACATCACATGACAAATGCTTCATTTCTAATCTTCATTTGTGTGTAGTTGTTTTGGAGAAGCTTCATCTTTCAGTTTGTATCAAAATGTTACCACCATGCATGATACATATATTTTCATGAAGAGTGCATTCCGAAATAAATGATCCACTTAATTCCTTTGGAAGTTTCAAATATGTTTTTGAGCAAAGATGGAGACGTAGAAAGACAATTTCTCATCTAAAAGCTAGTATCTCCTGGAAAACATATATCAATTCAAACATAGATTTGTATATTCTTGACCTAATTGAATACGTAAGAATCAATTGATAGATGTAGCCGTTACTACGTGGTAGGAGATCATAATGGGAAGAGAAATGAAAATTTCTATGTTTTTTACCACTTTTATTTGTAACTAACGTTACTGCAGTTTCGTCCTATACGGACATTCTCAAACTTATACAATCAACTATACAATAATCATACAATACTTATACAATAAATAATAAAGTTCATTGTATAAGTTTGAGAATGTCCGTACAGGACGAAACTGCAGTAACGTTAGTTACAAATAAAAGTGATAAAAAACATGGACATTTTCATTTCTCTTCTCGTCATAAGAATCAATAAAATATGAGGAAGCCAATTAAACAAGCCTAGTCAGCTTGGTATTCAGGTCATCGAACAAATTATCATTTCTCCAAAAATCAAACTCTCACTAATGACTTCAATCTCTCTGAGAATGAAATGTTAAATTTCCACTGATAATCTGTTGTTTTAATATTCTAATTAGAGAAACGCCGGCTGAATAAGGCATAATCCAAAGAATGTTGGTGGTTAACAACTAAAAACCTTCTCGCTTAATAGAAAATGGGCAGTTAGTTGCTGATGCAAGAACTGAATAATGGATGTTATGGAGAATCGAGGCCTTTTATATGCGTGAATCGTACAACAACCCCTTTTTCCATTGCCTCCAACTCACCCCGGAGTTTCCGGTTAACTGTAGCGCTGTGCAATTATTTTTAATTATTCCTACATCATTGTGGATGTCACACGGAATAAATTGAGAGGAGGTACGAGACATTGGGAGAATACGAAATAAAACGCTCAGAATTGACCGTGTACACAATTGTATCGAGTTCATCAATACTAATTACATTTTCGAGGATGATAATTGAAACAACAAGTGAAATGTGCATTCCTACGAGGACGAAAGGTATATTATCATTATTATTACTGTTTTACTGGTACAGAAAGACAATTAGGCAAGTTCATTGATCATGTCAATTCCATCCACCCTTCAATAAAATTAACCACTGAGAAGGAGGTGAATAATTCAATTAATTACCTTGACTTAACCATCTCGAAAAATAACAATAAACATCAATTTGCAATTTTCCACAAACCATCGTACACGGACATTATCATACACAATTCGTCCACACACCCTCACCAGTATAAACTTGCTGCATTCAGTAGTATGCTTCAAGGAGTGTTGAATATTCCACTGTCTGAGAGTAATTTCCAGAGAGAGCTGAGTTTGATCATGGACCTGGTCTACCAAAATTCAAGAAGCGATAACATCACTTATAGGACATTTTCATATTTGGGTGAACCAAATAATAATATTGCTCATTTTTTGAAGAAAGAATGCGTAAACGTAGCATACAGAATGAATGCTAATCTGAGTAAATTTATTAAAAACAATAAAGACAAAACTTCGGTGTCGGATAGATCAGGGGTATATAAGCTGACTTGTGTCTCTTGCCCAAAACTGTATATTGGCTAAACAGGGAGCACATTTTCATAAATAATTAAAGAGTATAAAAGTAGTTCTGTAAATGGAAAGATCAATTCCACATTTACACACCACCTTTTAAGCAGATGGACATTAGTTCAATCATGATTACGATGTGTTACATCTAAAAGAGAAAAGTTTGAAACTCATTCTTCTAGAATGTTTAGAAATGAATGGAATTAGGAATTCGGGTAATTTACTGAATGATCAATTAGAATTGAATGACTTCCCGTTACTAAATATTTTGTCAAATGTGGAAACTTTAACATGAGGTAAGGTAATTTGATTCATTACAAACTTAGGTAAAGAACAGGTATTTGTAATGCAGGTACTTCAAATTATAGAATAAGATATATTATGCATTTTTTGAATTGACCGATACTGGATAAAAATTTGTAACAGTATATATGAGTTACATTTTTTACGAGATTTTCATTGTACAGTTTATAAACCGCAACACGCATTTCACTAAGCAATAACTTTTTTGAAAGTGTTCAATGATAATTGTGTGATTGAATTAGTTTTTAAGTTTAGAAAATCTCTCAACACTTTTTTCAAATGATGGAAATCAAAAACTAATTGATTCACATTGTTTAACATATTCTAATAAAAACTCTTTTGAACTTTGATTTATTTTGCTCCATTTTAAAAATCTGAACCTGAAATATGTTTCAGTACAATAACAGTAGTTATTTCGAGAGGGCGTTCTTTTCCAGTTTTTGTCTAAAATTTATTCATTCGCATGATCTACACATCTTTGTAAAGAGTTCATTTTGAAATTGACTTGCTTTCTGCCTTTCTTCGGAAGATTCCAAAATTCATTGTATAAAGACGAAGAAGTAGAAAACCAAAACCGTTCTTTCCCAAAAACAGTTACAATTTTATAGTGACCCAACTGCCACCATCTAATTAACATGAATTATTGTTTCCAAATATTATAAAAACTCAATACAACTCTTGAAGATTATTCGATGTTAGCTCAGTATTTCCTCAATGAGAAACTCCATTAACAAAAATTCATTGATGAAATCTAATAATTTTATCAAGGTTATTATTGAAAACATCGAATGAAATCACAGAAGCAGAAAACTGATGTAATAAAGAGAGCCCAGTTTTCACATCCAATTAACGCATTTCATGGATCGACACAATACACAAGGCGGTAAGTCCATGTGGTGCCAAATGCTATTACCACATCATCAATAACAAAGCGTGAACAAATATTGTGAATACATACATGAGTAACCTCAAGTCGTGACGATCAAAAAGATAAATCGAATGAAGATTTGATAATAGTCCCTTATTTCAACCTTGGGACAGAACACACGAGTACTCAAACCTGAAACTCGTATTATTTACGTCCAAAGATGATGCTATCGTGGAACGGTGACTCCTTATCTGGGAAATCTTAATAGCAGGGTTCTTTGAATATGACTGATGAGCAATTCAAAAGCAGTAAACGAGTATGTGATCATTTATGGCATAAGAAATATCACTGCCTTCAGAAGGTAGAACACGAAGTGAAAGTTATTCA